GAGTAATTATAGGATTTGCATTCAATTGTGGTAGATGAGAATCAGTCACCACAACATTCCATAAACCTTAAGATCTTAGATAAAATCTCATTTTAACAGCTTAAATATGATAGAATTCACCACTAAACATTAGAATTGCATATGCAATATTGCTTAAAGAAGACATTGATAAAAAAAAAAAAAATAGAAGGAAAATAACTTATTAGTATTTATGCTCACCCTCTTTGTATTTAGCACTTAGAATACTTACCTTACCCTCTTTGTTTTTATCACTTAAAAGAAAGAAAATGCTTCCCTCACAGCTCATAGGATTTAGAAGCTCTGATATCACTATTAGAGATCTTAAGCCCCACTAAAAGAAATCTTAAGTTTCAAAATCACTATTTTGAGTATAGAAAAACAGATAGTTGAGTAGAAAGATCAATACTTTTAATTAATTTAGAATCCCTATTTAAAGGCTTACAAAGAACTTGAAATGAATAAAAAAACTCTCAAAAACCTTGAGAGATTATTGGTCTTCTAATAACAGATTCTGCAGTAAATCCTGTGGCAGAATTTGATATGAAAAAAATATATTAAAATCAGATAAATAACTGCACTTTAACTCTATCTTCTATCTTCAAGGCAGATTCTTATTAATAGATTCTAACAAACCTTTCGGTTTTAAGTTGAAATCTCAATAATAATTACGCCAAGATATTATTGATCACAGGCAAGGTGAAGCAATTAGTGAAAATTAATTAAAAAATGTTCCCCCCAGCTACAGTTGATGAGCTTGATATTGTTCTGAAACTCATGCAATTGTCTACATCCAACTTTGATAGCCGTGGTGGAAGCTCCAGTAATGATTGAAGGTTCCTTCAATTCCTTAATCCTAGATATTGCAACTCAAAGAGTTTATTCATGCTTGTAGGTATACTCCAAAAACCGTTTCCACGTAGATCTAACAATTCCAGTGACGATAAACGACCAAGACTGTCCGGCACTTCCGATAGACTACAACCATCTAGATTTAGCTTACGCAAACAATCTAAATCCACGCCTCTCTCGGGCAATTGCAAGTCTACAAAACATTTGATGTCTTTTAGATTTTTGCAGTTTCCCACTTCCAAGCAGGCAAGTCCCATCAGATTTCCAATCGGTGAAGGCAACTCTGTTATGCTTGTCTGTTCTAAATAGAGATATCTCAAACATACCATCGGCTCCAAAACTTCTGGAAAATCCCTAAATTGGAGGCAACCTGAGAGATTAAGCCTTGGCAGTTTTCTCAACTTGCAGATGCTGCTTGGAAGAATCTCAAATTGTTTGCAGTTTCTCAGGTGCAATTCAGCAAGTTCAAACAAACAATCTATTGAAGAGGGAATCTCTCGTATTGCTGTCCCATTTAAATACAGCTCCTTTAAATTATTTGAAACCTTTGGAAACTCCGTGATACTTGAACAACCAGAAAGATCAAGTTTTTCAAAACATACTAACTTAGAAACCGCACTCGGTAGATTCTTTAGCCTGTTGCAGCCAACTAGATCTAAATAAATAAGTTTCTTTATATCACCAATTATAGAAGGCAGTTCTGTAGCAAATTGTCAACATAATATTTTATCAATATTTTTTTTAATTACCATCAACCACCCTCTTCTTTAATAACCACCATCAACCACTTCCAATCACAATTTAACCACCCTCAACCAAGTTGTCAAGGCTATCCTATAAATAGAGATAAAGAGAGAGCAATGTAATAAGTGTTGTGAGAGCAAAAGAGTGAAAGTGTGGTGAGTGAAACTGTGAGAGTGAAAAAATACAGATTTAAGAGAAACACCGAGTGTAAGAGTGAAACACCGGGTTTTGTGGGATTGTACTGGGTTGAGTTGAGTGTTTGTATCATTCCTCCAATAATATATAATCTGCTGCCTCCATGAACGTACCTGATTTTGGGAAACCACGTAAATTTGTTATTTATGTTTTTTATTTGTGTTTGCTTTCGGTCCAGTATGTGCAACAAGTTCTTCTATTGCTGTTCCATTCAAGTACAAGTATCTTATATTCCTCGAAAAGTCGGGAATCCCGCTGATAGAAGAGCAGCCAGAGAAATCAGCAATTAGAAGAGATGTCAGCAAATACATGTTTTCTGGAAGATTCACCAAGAGGTTGCAGTTCCTCAAATTCAACGCCACAAGTCCGTTGAGTTCCCCCATTGATTGGGGAAGCTCTTCAACAGCAGTCTCATTTAAATTTAAATATGTCAGTTTCCTTGCAGTCTCTGGGCACTTCTTGAGATTTGCACAACCACAAAGGTTCAGAGTCTCCAGACAACTTGAATTAATTCTACTGGGAAGATTGATTAGTCTTTTGCAGCCTCTCAAATCTAAATCAACAAGCTTGTCCAGATGCTGAACAGATGAAGGAAACTCAACCAAACTTTTACAGAATTGAAGATTCAATCTCTCAAGGTTTCTGGCCTTTGAAAGGTCTGGCAGGAAAGTTATGTGCTCACAATGGCTGAGGTTGACATCTTTTAAATTGACGAGATTCTGAAGCAAAATGAAATTAACAGAAAGAAATTACACGTGCATACCACGTGCACTTAATTTCAAAGAAAGAACTGTGCATGCATGGAGTTAATTTAGAATACCTGCTCTCCTCTCCACAGTTGGTTAACCTTGCTAGATGACAGGTTAATTTCAACAAGGTTTCGTGGACGAAAATTGCTAGGCAAAGATGTCAGAGGGTATCCATCCCAATGGAGATACCTCAGCTCTTCATAGTATCAAAAACACATCTCATTTAAAAAATTAAACTATTAGGTAATATTACAAGATATAATTTATATTATTTTCTAACATACTCACTCAAGTAAAAGTTTTTTGAGCTTGAAATTTACGCAAGTCCATATTACCTTGTGTTTAATTTTTATGAAATAAATAGAAATGATGAAATTTGAACTTGAGACTATTTGGTCAATCAGGCTTTGATATCATATCAAAAAACCATCACATCTAAAAACTTAAGCTATTAAATAAAATTTCAAAATATAATTTATATTATTATATAACACAGAACTTGAAACCATGAGGAAGGTGCACTCTACATTTAACCCCAGCTTCATAATTATAAATTTTTTGCGGTCTAAGTTTATACATCATTTCCAAGGCTGTATAACTCAACTCAATTTCTCTTATTTTTGAATCATCCAAGAATATCCCTTCAACTTTTCTGGTTCCCTGAAAACCAGTGATGGTAAACAAAAGTTTGAAGTAAAATTTTAAACTTACTAGTAAAACCATATTGCATTGCATATATAAAAAAAAAACTTTTATGTGTATGAATCTCACTATATTATTGGTCAAAACTTGATATATATCTTTGTTGTATATACTAGACAAAACAAATACAAATAAAACTCAAACAAGCAGATTTATATAGTTATCTAAAATTGAGTACATCCACGTAAATAATAGATTATATATTATTAGAGAAATGATACAAACACTCAACTTAATCCAATATAACTTCATAAAATTTAATATTTTAGTCTTATACACGGTATTTCTTTCAAATATATACTTGCACTCTCTCTTCCTTTTCAAAAATAAAAAGTAAAAAGTAAAGGGATGATATGTTGCAGATCTTCTTTTGTTCTGTTCTTTAATATAATGGACTTTGTGTAATCCACTAGAATAATGGAGGGCGATAAAAGGCAGAAATTATGGTGGAGACTTCTGTTATTGGATGGAAAGAAAAGTTAAGCACCTCGCAGTTACTGGATTATCTACACGTGGACAGTTTGGTGACATTGTAGCCATCAAAATGTGTAGTAATGCCCATCCATGCTTTGATTATTGTTTAATAATATATTAATTATCTTCGCACAGCAGGTTACATGGTGTTTTTATTTAAAAAAACAAATCTAAAATGTTGAGATGTAATATCATTTACTATTACAAATATCATTTATTAATGTATTTGTGAGATGCAAATATCATTTACTATTAAAAAAAATACTATACTCAATCTTGACTAAAGGATTGATGTGTAAAAATATCATTTACTATTAAAAAATTATAGTATCATTTGTATTTATGAGATGCAAATATCATTTACTTTTTTTATTATTATAATGTGAGATTTCACTTTTTCTTTATAAATTCAGAAACGACACTTTACATGTCAAGATATCATTATTGATATTATTTATAACTTTTTACATAATAAGTTAGCGTGTGAAAACTCAATCAACAAAAATTATAAAATTATTACATGATTGCCATTATAATTTGTATTCAGTTGTATTTCCACCGTGCCCTTTTTTTTTTAAATGAGTGGTATACGTATAATAAAAATTAATAATTTATAAATAGTCTATATTTATATGAATTATTTTTTAATTTTTTTATATAAAATATTAAAACTTTAATTTAAACAAAAATCAAGTTGATTTAGGTTGATCAACTTATATATATAACCCGAAACGAGACTCCTTAACCAGATAAACCCTCAAATCGGATAACTATAACTTCAACCGTGAGAGAAGTAATTTGTGTTGAAGTAAACTCAATCTAGAAGGTCAAGAAAGGCAGCCACCAGCTGTCACCGCCCAGCCACCAACCGACCGGCCGCCAACCGCTTTCACACCGTCGGTCACAACCAACACCGTCGGCCACAACCGCCTTCACACTTGAAGGTTGAATTTTCTTGTTTTGATTTCGTGTATAAATAGATAGCTAAGGTTATGCAATTATGTGTGGAGAAATTGAGAGAAACACTAGAGAGAAAAAGAGAGGGGTTGTTGTAAGCTTTTGTTTATCTAATTGTAAGCTTCGTTCTTGAAATAAAAGAGTGTGTTTTATCCCCTCCGAGTGTTTCAAAGCCACCACAAGTGGTTTCTCCCACCAACAATTGGTATCAGAGCCCCGTTCGTCAGAAAACAGAGGTATTTTTGGGAAATATCCGAATTTTCAAAGTTGTCAAAAACAAATTTTGATCATTCCAAAGTGTAGAGCTCATCAATACGAACTCAACGGTGCAAAAATCAGATCAATCGGAGCACGGGGTGGACCACACTCTCCGTTTGAAGTTTCAGCACTGTTGCCCACGCGCCCCGAGAAAGAAGATGAGTGAGCCACATGCGCGCCATATTTGAGCCGCGCAGAGCCAAGCCTCAAGCCGAGCCATGAGCCATATTCCAAAGCCGAGCCGCGCTCCAAGCCATATTCCGAAGCCAAGCCAAGCTCTGAGCCATATTCTAAAGTCAAAGTCAAAACGAATATTCCTTGGAATATTCCCGGTTCAACCTAGCAAACCACCTGAATTGGTTTTTGGACTGGTTCACCCTATTTTTGACCCGTTTTCTACAAAGTTAGACCGGTTCCCTACTATTTGGACCATTCCGGATTCATCTACGGTGTCAGTTTTGCCAAATTCAACTCTCAAAAGGTGATATAGTCATTTAAAGAGCAAAATGACTACAGAAAATGCACAAACACTCATCCCGAAGCTAACCAAAGACAACTATGATAGTTGGTGCATCAGATTGAAGGCATTTCTTAGTTCACAAGAGTGTATAGACATTGTGCAATATGGTTATGATGAACTAGAGTCCAAAGAATTAGAAGATGCTTTACTAGAGGTACAGAAGCAAGTCCTCAAAGCCAATAGAAAGAAAGAAAGACAACAAAGCAAAGACCATCATTTATCAAGGTCTTGATGAAGCGACATTTGAAATCATTGCTTCCACAGAAACATCAAAAGAAATACGGGAGGCTCTCCAACAAAAATACAAAGGTGTTGATAGAATAAAGAAGATTCGTCTGCAATCTTTATGAGGTGAATTTGAATTGTTACAAATGAAGTCCTCAGAATCCATTTCTGATTATCACACAAGAATTATGGTGATAGTCAATCAGATGAGAAGAAACGGAGAAGCCCTTTCAGATGCTTGAATTACTGAGAAAATTTTGAGATCTCTAGATCCAAAATTTGATTTTGTTGTTGTTGCTATTGAAGAGTCCAAAGAAGTGGACAAGTTGACAGTGGATGAGCTTATGAGTTCTTTGCAAGCTCATGAGCAGAAGATTGTAAAAAGAAATGGAGATAAGGCAATTGAGCATGCCTTAAAAGCAAAGTTGTCTCTCAAAGACAAATATGAGCAAGGGGAGACTTCAACAAATGGATACACCACTCGAGGAAGGAGTCAACAAACACGAGGAGGATTTCAACGATTTCAAGGCAGAGGTTCTTGGAATACAGTTTTTAGAGGAAGAGGTGGTAAAAACACCACTAGAGGAGGTCGATAACAACAAGCATTCACTCCTAGAAGAAAAGGAGGCGGTTACAATAACCGTGACAAGAGGAATATTCAGTGTTATAATTGCAATCAATTTGGCCACTATAGCACTGAATGTCAAAAGAAAGCTCCACTGGAGATACATGAGCGAGTCAACTATGCAGAAGAGGATGTCAACAGTAGAGGAGTAGCTGCATTATTTGTCTAACAAGGACTTGACAAGAATCAGGAGAATATTTGGTATCTTGATTCTGGAGCTAGTAATCACATGTGTGGCCAACGAGATTTATTTGGTGATCTAGATGAGACCATACAAAGTTTTGTCACCTTTGGAGATACATCAAAAGTTCCATTCAAAGGTAAAGGCAACATCCCAATCAAGTTGAAGAATGGCGATCATAGTTACATCGCCGATGTCTACTATGTCCCAGCAATAAAGCAGAACTTGGTGAGCATAGGTCAACTTTTGAAGAGAGGCTATACACTTTACATGAAGAATTGTCATCTGACAATTAGAGACTACAATGGAAGATTAATTGCCTATGTGAAAATGTCCAAGAATAGGATGTTTCCTTTAAACATCCAATATGATGCAGCAAAGTGTTTGAGTTCCATCACCAACAGTGAAGAATGGCTTTGGCACATGAGACTTGGACATCTCAATTTCACAAGTCTGAAGATACTAGCAAGCAAGAAGATGGTCAAAGGTATGCCTCACATTGATCATCCAGAAGAAGTCTGTGAGAGTTGTGTCCTCAGCAAACATCACAGATCTAGTTTTGCCAAAGAAGTCAACTGGAAAGCAAACAAGCCACTTAAGTTAGTACACACAGATGTGTGTGGTCCTATAAAACCTATGTTGACTGGACAAAATAGGTACTTTCTCACTTTCATTGATGATTTTAGTAGAAAGACATGGGTATATTTTTTGAAGAGGAAGTCAAAAGTGTTCAATTGTTTTAAAGATTTTAAAGCAATTGTTGAGAAGCAAAGTGGCTATAAAATCAGAACCGTGAGATCTGATGAAGGTGGAGAATATACAACAAATGACTTTGAAGCCTTTTGTACACAACAAGGCATCATACATCAGACAACACCAACTTATACACCACAGTTGAATGGTGTAGCTGAGAGAAAGAATCGAATAATTTTTGATATGGCAAGAAGTTTACTCAAAGCAAAAAAGATGCATAAGCAATACTGGGCTGAAGCTGTATCATGTGCATTATATTTGCTGAATCGCTGCCCAACCAGAAGTTTGCAAGCTGTCACTCCACATGAAGCATGGAGTGGTCACAAACCAAATGTTACTCATCTTCGAGTCTTTGGTTGTGTGGCATATGCAAAGATCCCAGATGCAAGAAGGACCAAACTTGATGATAAAAGCGAGAAATGCATCTTTGTCGAGTACGGTGAGAGAAGAATGGGATACAAGCTGTATAATCCCATCACCAAGAAGGTAATTATGAGCAGAGATGTTATCTTTGAAGAAGATAAAACTTGGCAATGAAATGATGACCAAGAAGCAGTTAAATGGATCAGCACTGATTTGATCCTTGAAGATGAAGAAGTACCAACAGTACTTCCAAAAGGTCCAATAGTACTAGAAGATGAGCCATAAAGTCCGATACACAGATTTCCTGTATTCAACAGGAGAAACACGCCAGAATCATCATCAACATCATCATTACCAGAACCATCATCAGCATCCTCATCAGAAGGACCAAGAAGGATGAGAAATCTAGAAGAGCTGTATGACGCCACTCAAGTAATGGAAGATACAACTCTATTTTGTTTCTTTACTGATAGTGACCCAATTAGCTTCAATGAAGCTATCACAGAAGAGAAATGGATAAAAGCAATGGATGAAGAAATACATGTCATTGAGAAGAATGATACCTGGAAGCTGACTTATCTACCAGAAAACAAAAAAGCAATAGGTGTCAAATGGGTCTATAAGACAAAGAAGAATGCAAAAGGAGAAGTGCAAAGATATAAAGCAAGATTAGTGGCGAAAGGCTACAAACAGAGAGAAGGCATTGACTATAGAGAAGTGTTTGCTTCAGTAGCCCGGCTAGAGACAATCAGACTGATGATCTCACTAGCAGCACAACATAGATGGAAGATCTATCAACTTGATGTGAAGTCAACATTTCTGAATGGCTTCCTAGAAGAAGAGATCTATGTTGAACAACCACTTAGATACATTGATGTTGAAAATGAAGGCAAAGTATACAAGTTGAAAAAAGCCCTCTACCGTTTGAAGCAAGCTCCGCGTGCTTGGAATACCAGAATTGACATGTATTTTCAAGATAATGGATTTGAAAAATGTCCATATGAACACGCAATTTATGTGAAGAAAGAAGCAGATGGCAGCATATTATTTGTGTGCCTATATGTTAATGACTTGATATTCACCGGCAACAATCCTACCATGTTCAAAGACTTCAAGAAAAGCATGGTACAAGAATTTCAGATGACAGACATTGGTCTGATGGCACATTTTCTTGGCTTAGAAGTGGTGTAGAAAGAAGAAGGGATTTTTGTATCCCAAAACAGTTATGCTAAAGATATTCTTGAAAGGTTCAAGATGGAAAGCTGCAATCCGGTATCAACTCCAGTTGAGAATGGAGTGGAATTGAGGAAAAGTAAAGTTGAAAATGTTGATCCAACTTACTTCAAAAGCTTAGTAGGAAGCTTAAGGTACTTGACATGTACCAGACCAGATATACTCTACGGAGTCGGACTGATCAGTAGATATATGGAGAAGCCAAACCACTCTCATTTGAATGCAGCCAAGAGAATTCTTCACTACCTCAAAGGCACAATAAATGAAGGTATGCTTTATACATCAAGTACAAATTTCAATCTTACTACTACTCAGATAGTGATTGGGGTAGAGATCTGGATGAAAGAAAAGGTATAACAGGGTTTGTATTTTTCATGGGAGATACATCTTTCATATGGTCAACCAAAAAGCAATCGATTGTCATGTTATCAAGTTGTGAAGCTGAGTATGTTGCTGCCAACTCAGTTGTATGCCATTTAATATGGTTAAGGAATTTGCTGAAGTTTTTGGGATTTCCTCAAGAAAATCCTACAGAGATTTATATCGATAATCGATCAGCGATTGCATTAGCAAAGAATCCGGTGTATCATGAAAGAAGTAAACATATTGATACACGTCATCACTTTATCCGAGAGCATGTAAAGAACAAAGAAGTCGAGCTGATATCCTACAAGACAGATGATCAAGTTGCAGATATCTTTACCAAGCCATTGAAAAGAGAAGTATTTATCATATTGAAATTCATGCTTGGAATGACATCCCTCGATTGAGTTTAAGGGGGAGATTTGTTGAAGTAAACTCAATCTAGAAGGTCAAGAAAGGCAGCCACCAGCTGTCACCGCCCAGCCATCAACCGACCGGCCGCCAGCTGCTTTCACATCGTCGGCCACAACCGCCTTCACACTTGAAGGTTGAATTTTCTTGTTTTGATTTCGTGTACCTTCACACTTGAAGGTTGAATTTTCTTGTTTTGATTTCGTGTATAAATAGATAGCTAAGGTTATGCAATTATGTGTGGAGAAATTGAGAGAAACACTAGAGAGAAAGAGAGAGGGGTTGTTGTAAGCTTTTGTTTATGTAATTGTAAGCTTCGTTCTTGAAATAAAAGAGTGTGTTTTATCCCCTCCGAGTGTTTCAAAGCCACCACAAGTGGTTTCTCCCACCAACAATTGGTATCAGAGCCCCGTTTGTTAGAAAACAGAGGTATTTTTGGGAAATTGAGAGAAACACTAGAGAGAAAGAGAGAAAGAGAGAGGGGTTGTTGTAAGCTTTTGTTTATGTAATTGTAAGCTTTGTTCTTAAAATAAAAGAGTGTGTTTTATCCCCTCAACAATTTACATCTCCTCTAAAAACAAGATTAAAAGATCTAAAACCCTATAGAAAAACACCTTATCTCCAGACCCATGGACCCATGAGCATTATTCATTGAAATACTATAAAGATGTTTTTTACCCTTTACCAGAAAAATTTAGCAAAAATCACCTTATCTCCAGACCCATGGACCCATGAGCATTATTCATTGAAATACTGTAAAGATGTTTTTTACCCTTTACCAGAAAAATTTAGCAATGGCTTCCAAAAGCATTGAAGTTTTTCTGCATGGCTCCTTTGTTATTTTTTAAATTGATTAGGGATAAATAAGTTTTTTTTTTATTAATTGCACAATAAAAAAATTAAAAAATCATTGAAAGCATAAAATCTAAACCTGATGCAAGGAGGTATTTTCATATTTTAAAATGGTTTTTTGTCTTTATTATAATTTAAACTAAAAGTTAATTTGTCAATTTATCATCTGATCAAATATAAAAGATAATAAACAATTAAAATACACGGTAAAATAAATAAAATAACTTTAAATAAAAACATTTAATCATGAAGACAAGGGGTGTTCTAGTTTTAACAATCGCAGCAACAACAATAATAATTTATTAAAGTTTTCTACTGTAAAACCCAAGTGTCATTAATTATGCCTTCTCTTTTGTTCATCTAATGCTCCGGGGAAGAACATAGCCAAAATAATCATCACGTCTCATGCCTTGTAACCTTTCTCTCTTGGCTTGGAACATTGCTTTCAGTTCATCTCGATCCTGAGGATCAAAGTGATCTTGCATGCTGAAATCAAAGTGATATTGCGTGCTGAAATCAAAGTGATGCATCTCATTGGCATGCAGTAGATGGACCCCACACTCAATCACCTGACAAAAATCTAGTGAAGTGCCTTTCATATCTTCTGGCCGGAAGTCAACTGAGACCTCGCTGTATTTACTAAACGTATCCTTTTCTTTGGCAACAAAACAGGGATCCAATCCCACGAATATGTGTGCTGGATTGTTGCCCTTGTCATCATACCAACCATGGAGATAGCAATAGAGATCATGGCTATCACCGTGCTCATTGCGGAAGTGATATGTGCATTTAACTCGCAACTCAAAGTTGAAAGAATAAGATGCAATGACAGCACAAAGAGAGAAACCCAAGAACTCGCTATTAGCCCACTGTGAAGATAGCTGGAATGTTACTCTAGATCCCCACCTTTTATGGCTAAACCACTCCGGAGTTACATCTTCAGGGAGGTAGAAACTAGGTGGCCTAGGGAGGCAGAAACTAGGTGGCCTAGGGAGGCAGAAACTAAATGGCCTCAGGAGGCAGAAACTAAATGGCCAAGCTGGAACATCGGGCAGCTGTTAACATAATTCAATTAGCATCTTTTTAAAATGAGACGAAGGAAATAGAAAAGTATATTAGAGGTTTAAGAAAAACACCTGATGGTCCGCCAAGAATTTATAGGTCCTACGCATGATAGAATAACCCCCCGGTCTATTGACTTGGAGCCTTGCTCTCTTGGCTTGGAACATTGCTTCCAATCCATCTTGATCCTGAGGAAAAAAACGATAGTATCTATGCATGATGAAATCAAAGCGATATATCTCATTGGCATGCAGTAGGCGGACCCCACACTCAATCACTTGACAAAGATCTAATGGTAAGAGATTGCCGTTCTTATCTTCCAGTTGGAATTCAACTGAGACCTCGCTATATTCACTAAACGTATCCTTTTCTTTGGCAACCACACAGGGATCAAATCCCATGAATATGTTCATGCGCTTCTCATCATACCAACCATGGAGATAGCAATAGAGATCATGGCTATCACCGTGCTCATTGCGGAAGTGATATGTGCATTTAACTTGCAACTCAAAGTTGAAAGAATAAGATGCAATGACAGCGCAAAGAGAGAAACCCGAGAACTCGCTAGTAGCCCACTGTGAAGATAGCTGGAATGTTACTGTAGACCCCCAACTTTGATGGCTAAACCACTCTGGAGTCGCGTCTCCAGGGAGGCAGAAACTAGATGGCTCGACTACAACATCAGGCAGCTGTTACACAATCCAAATAGCATCATTTTAAAATAAGATGAAGGAAAGAAAAAGGTATATCAGAGGTTTAAGAAACAAACCTGAAGGTCCGCCAAGAATTCATAGGTCCTACGCATAACAGAATAATCCTCCCATCTATCAGCTTGAAACCTTGCTCTCTTGGCTTGGAACCTTACTCTCAAGTCATCTCCATATAGAAGATCAAAACGAGAGGAGTCTGACATTATCAAATGAAAGCGTTGTATCTTATCTTCATCATTGGCATGCAGTAGACGGAGCCCAAACGCCCCACCGTCATACAGTAGATGGACCCCACACTCAACCACGTGACAACAAGGAAATAAATTGTTTTCCAGGTGGAATTCATCTAAGACCTCGCGGTGGAATTCAACTGAGACCTCGCTATATTCACAAAACGTATCCTTTTCTTTGGCAACCACACAGGGATCAAATCCCATGAATATGTATGCTGAGTCGTCGATGCGTTTCTCATCATTCCAACCATGGAGACAGCAACAACCATGGAGATAGCAGTCAAGGTCACGGGTATCACCATGCTTATTGCGGAAGTGATATGTGCATTTAACATGCAAACTCTGACCAAAACTATAATTGGCAGAACCAAATCCAATGACTATGATTGCGCAAAGACAGAAACCCAAGAACTTCCTATTAGCCCAATTTGTAGATAGCTGGAATGTTACTGTAGATCCCCAACTTTGATGGCTAAACCACTCCGGAGTCGTGTCTCCCGGGAGGCAGAAACTAGATGGCTTAGCTACAACATCAGGCAGCTGTTACACAATTCAAATAGCATCATTTTAAAATAAAATGAAGGAAAGAAAAAAGTATATCAGAGGTTTAAGAAACAAACCTGAAGGTCCGCCAAGAATTCATAGGTCCTACGCATGACATAATAATCCTCCCATCTCATGCCTTGGAACCTTGCTCTCTTGGCTTGGAACATTGTTTGCAATTCATCACCATTCGTAGGATAAAAACAAAAATAGCCTGACCTAATCAAATCAAAGCGATCTTCATACAGTAGACGGACCCCACACTCGTGTACTTGACAAAGATCTAATGGTAAGAGATTTCCGTTGGTAAATTCCGGTTGGAACTCAACAGAGACCTCACTATATTCACTAAACATATAATCTTCTTTGGCAACCACACAGGGATCAAACCCCACCAATATGTGTGCTGAGTTGATTCGCTTCTCATCATTCCAACCATGGAGATAGCAAACGAGGTCACGACTTTCACCATGCTTATTGCGAAAGTGATATGTGCATTTAACTTGCAAACTATGGCTGACAGAACCAAATGCAATGACAGCGCAAAGAGAGAAACCCAAGAACTGGCTATTAGCCCAATGTGAAGATAGCTGGAATGTTACTGTAGAACCCCAACTTTGATGGCTAAACCATTCCGGAGTCGCATCTACAGGGAGGCAGAAACTACATGCCGCTTCTGGAAAATCGGGCAGCTGTAAACACAACTCAAATAGCATCTTTTTAAAATGAAAGGTGGTAAATAGAGAAAAAAAGATGTATATCAGAGCTTTGAGAAACAAACCTGATGGTATAACCTTTTGGTATAAAGTTGAAATTTCAGTAATGAGTACGCCAAGATTTGATTGAACAAACGCGATCTCGAGCAATTAGTGAAAATGAATTCAAAAATGTTCCCCTCAACTACAGTTGATGACCTGTGGTGGAAGCCCTGGTAATGATTCAATCTCTCGCAATTGTCTGCATCCAACTTTGATAGCTGTGGTGGAAGCTCCGGTAATGATTCAAGCCTCCTGCAATTCCTTAATCCTAGATATTGCAACTCAAACAGTTTATTGATGGTTATAGGTATTGTCCTGAAATTGTTTCCACTTAGATCTAACACTTCCAGTGACGAAAAACGACCAAGACTGTCCGGCACTTCCGATAGATTGCAACCATCTAGATTTAGCTTACGCAAACAATCTAAATCCACGCCTCTCTCGGGCAATTGCGATTTGACAAGACATTCGATGTCTCGTAGATATTTGCAGTTTCCCACTTCCAAGCAGGCAAGTTCCATCATATTTCCAATCGGTGAAGGCAACTCTGTTATGCTTGTCTGTTCTAAATAGAGATATCTCAAATATACCATCGGCTCCAAAACTTCTGGAAAATTTTGAAATTGGATGCAACCTGAGAGATTAAGCCTCTCCAATTTTCTCAACTTGCAGATGCTGCTAGGAAGAATCTCAAATTGTTTGCAGTTTCTTAGGTGCAATTCAGCAAGATCAAACAAACATTCTATTGAGGAGGGAATCTCTCGTATTGCTGTCCCATTTAAATACAGCTCCTTTAAATTATTTGAAACGTTTGGAAACTCCGTGATACTTGAGCAACCGGAAAGATCAAGTTTTTTAAGGCATCCCAACTCAGAAACCGCACTCGGCAGATTCTTTAGCCTGTTGCAGCCACCTAGATCTAAAAAAATGAGTTCCCTTAGACCACCAATTGAAGATGGCAGCTCTTCTATTGCAGTTCCATTCAAGTACAAGTATCTTATATTCCTCGAAAAATCAGGAAGCCTGCTGATAGATAAGCAGCCAGAGATGTCAGCAATTTGAAGAGATTTCAACAAATATATGTTTTCTGGAAGATTAACCAGGTGTTTGCAGTTCTTCAAATTCAACGCAACAAGTCCACTTTGTTCCCCAATTGATTGGGGAAGCTCTTCAACAGCAGTCTCATTTAAATTTAAATATGTCAGTTTCCTTGCAGTCTCTGGGCACTTCTTGAGATTTGAGCAACCAGAAAGATTCAGAGTCTCCAGAAAATTTGCATTAATTCTACTGGGAAGATTGATTAGTCTTTTGCAGCCTCTCAAATCTAAATCATTAAGCTTGTCAAGATGCTGTATAGATGAAGGAACCGTAACCAAACTTGTACAGAATTGAAGATTCAATCTCTCAAGGTCTCTGGCCGTTGAAAGGTCTGGCAGGGAAGTTATGTGCTCACAATTGCTGAGGTTGACATCTTTTAAATTGACGAGATCCTGAAGCAAAATGAAATCAACAGAAAGAAATTACACGTGCATATCACTCTAAATTTCGAAGAAAGAACTATGCATGCACAGAGTTATTTTAGAATACCTGGCCTTCTCTCCACAGTTGCTCAACCTTGCTAGATGATAGGTTAAGTTCAACAAGGTTCTGTGGACGAAAATTGCAAGGCAAAGATGTCAAAGGGTATCCATCCCAATGGAGATACCTCAACTCTTCGGAAAGAGACTTGAGGCCATGAGGAAGGTGCACTCTGCATTTAACTCCAGCTTCAGAATTATAAATTTTTAGCAGTCTAAGTTTATACATCCTTTCCAAGGCTGTAGAACTCAACTCAATTTCTCTTATTTTTGAAGCATCCAAGAATATCCCTTCAACTTTTCCAGTTCCCTGAAAACCAGTAAAGGAGAAGCAAAGTTTAAGTAAGATTTTAAACTTACTAGTACAACCATATTGCATTGCATAGGAAAGAGAAAACTTTGGGGTATATGAATCTCACCAGATTATTGGTCAACACTTGATATGCATCTTTTGGATTCCACAATCTGCTCTGTCTTCCCAGCTCGTCAAGAGATTCTTTACGAACAACTTCATGGGCCATTTCTTGCAAAAGATCATGCATTTCAACCTTGTTATCTGAAATTTTAATGAGACACCTGTCAATGAGAACACTAAATCCAATATCTGTTTTGAAACCGCAGCCATCTAAAATCCGCTTTACAAAATCAACTCGATGCCCTTTAAAAAAACATGCAATGTCAAGAAATATACTCTTCGTGTTATGATCACGTAGTGCATCAAAGCCTATTCTCAGCAAGTCATAAATATTCAACTCAGGAAAGCTTTCGATCTCATTTAATTGAGATTCCCAAAAATGTCTCCCTTTGTCAAATAAGAAGGAACCCAAAACTTGAAGAGCTAACGGGTTCCCTTTGGCATAATTTATTGCCGTGATTGACAACTCCATATAAGCTTCTAGGGGGTGGTTTCTCTTAAAAGCATTCAAGCTAAAGAGTTGAAGAGCTTCGTGGAAGTTTAATTCCTCAACCTCGTATATTTCATCAACTACATTCTTAAGTACTTGCCTGTCTCTTGATGTCACAACAACAACACTGCCTTCACCAAACGAACGCTCTTTAATTAAATGCTCGAATTGTAGTACATCATTCACATCATCCAAAACAAGGAGAATTTTCTTTTGGCAGAGTCTATCCCTGATGAAAGTAGGTATATGTGGTGTGCCAACGCGAAGATTTTCTTCCTCCAGTAGTTTAGAAAGAAGTTCCTCTCGTAGATCACTTAATCCACCCTTTTCTGACTCCTGCCTTATGTTCGGAAGAAAGTGGCAGCCTTCATACTGACTTGAGATGCTATAGATGTAGAAAGCTTCCGCAATAGTTGTCTTGAGAAAGCTTCCGCAAT